GCGCGCCCCTCGCGGGCCCGCGCCGCTCACCTCCTCCATCTTCTGCACCATGGACGCCAGCTGCCCCTCGTCCTCCAGCAGCTCGTTGAGCTGCACCAGCGACAGCCCGGCAAAGCGGGCTTCGCTCCCGGGGCCCGCCATCCCCGCGTCTAGCCTTCGCTGCCGCTGCCGCCGCCGCCGCTTTAGCCCCCGAGCTCCGCCGACCGGAAGCTCCGCCCTCAAGCCCGCCCCCGGCGAGGGGGGGCACGTGACGCCAGCTCTGTGGTGTGACGTCATCGACGCGCGGGCGGGCGGACGTGACGTGTCTCTCCGGGCCCCTAGCTGAACCCCCGCGCGGGGCTGCTGCGCTGGCTAGCGTGGGGTCTCGTGAGGGAGCGGGAAGTACTTGGACACGGCTCGTGACGCAGTGCGAGGCAATGAAGATGTCACTGCACAGAACAGCAAGTGATGTCATAAGAGCCTTTTTTTTTCCACAAAAGAGAAATGCCAAGATCCAAAGAAAACAGCGGGAGGAAGTGGCTGCCCTTACCCCAAGTGTGGTGTGCCTTAAGTTGAGTTGCCCAAAGAGGTTTTGGTTCCTCGGAATTGTGAAGCTGCCAGCTTAATGGTTTGACAAGTATCTCTTGAGATGCCTTTGGATTAGGCTTTGGATCTACAGTTCTAAATAAAACAAGAAGGACCCCTACCTCCATGGAGAAATAAACAGGAAACAAGTAAAATGGTGATGAACTGAGGGGAAAGCACAGAAAGGAAATGAATGTTGACATAAGAGAATAATAGAGAAGATTTCTAGAGAAATATGTGCTTTTAGAGAAAGTACTAGGTGAGGAGGTACCCTCTGAGAAAAGGTGAGGACAAAGGACACGTAAAGGTTGAGGAGGAGGCAATTGCCACTCCTGTAGGAAGCCCAAGGCAGCACACCCTGCATGTGCAAAGGGCCTTTGTTTCGACTGAGCACATTCAAGAAAGACAACTGGAATGGCTGGGGCATCCTGAGCAAGGACCTATGCAAGTGACCTTTGCACCAACTCAGAGGAAAACATCGAAGAAGGTCAAGCTATGATTTATATTCTTTTTCAGAAAACATGAAAACACAACTTAGGGGGCAATTGCTGGGTCTCCCCACTATGTTGATCTGGAAATCTACATATTTGGAAGCTCATTCTCCTGCCTTGGGCTCTGTCTCAGTTCTAGTTGAAGGAAACCTAAGACCCCCTTAATTTTTTTTAGTAGTTTATTTTTACATCATTTTGTGCCTTTTTCCATCTCAATTGTAATCCCCGTGGGTTTCTCATCACCAAATCACCCATGCGCCGTCACCATAGTCCAGTGCACTTCACTCCCCCCACCGTTTTTGATCCCATTCCCCACTCCACCCCATAAAATGTCTCTGGTAAATAGCTGTTCATTATTATTATTATTATTTTCTCAGCTGAAGACCCCTTAATTTTACACATGAAGAAACTGAGACCCTGGAAGGACGAAAGTAATTGGTGGGTCTCCTGACATCGAGACTGGCATCCACAATGCTGTCCTCAGAACACACTGACCTCGTCGCACAACTCAGTGCCAAACAGTTGAGGCATTCAGTGCATGCTCACTGGCATGAAGATGACACTCAGCTCCTCCGTCTGTAAAACATAAGGTCTGTGCCGTTGGTCCATACATCAGCTGGGCTCCACTGGACGTCCCTTCCTGCCTCTAGCCCCACATGACTAAAGCACAAAGTTGCTGAAAGATGAGGAGAGTTAGAGGAAACACTTGATAGTATCTGCGAAGAAAAGGTTTTATGGACCTCAAAAAGAGCACTCAATTGTTGTCATCCCTTGGACTTATTATATGTGATCTGAAAGGGTGATTTTGAGGTGGAACATCCATCACAAAGAGGAAGTGGTTGTAGGAAGTCCTTATTCATCTTCACTCATTTTTACCCCTTTTCTCTGCATAGCAGGAATAATTCTGCCAAATTGAGAATACCAGGAACTTTCCAGGAACTACTCACGTAGAGACTGCAGATTCCAGAATTAATTCTGCACAAGACCCCACAAGTGGGGGATCAGAGCTCTTCAGAATAGAGAGGGGTGAAGTGATTCAGCTCAGACCACATAGCAGGAACAGCCCAGATCTGAAGGGCACACCTGTGTGCAGTGACCACTCAGATGCTCGGTTGACACAGGGTTCACTGCTCAGCCTTACCCTGTTCTTGAATAATTCCTCAGCGACTTGTTTTCTGAGCTATTCAAGTCACACCCCACTTCCTTTGTCAAATAGAGCAAACCACAGAAACCTCTTGTTTGCTGCCGCTCTGAAAACTTCTCATCACTCTTAAAGGTGGTGAGGGAAGAAAAGAAACAGAGTGTCCTTGCCGATTTTCAAATCCTGTCAATTTTAATGTGGGGTTGATGTGTGCATTTCCCTCTTTTGAGGGGGGGGCGAGGTTAACTGATGCAAATATCAGTTTCTCTGTACACCTACGTCTGCCTGTCACATCTGTGAGTTAGCTAAGATTTATTCTGGCAAACCAAAGGCCATGAATCTATGTGCCAGGGTTTCTCTTTCAATGGGAGTATTGTTACTGCCAGAGAAATGTTACACAACATCAGGAATTGTTTGGAAAGCCCACTTAAAAAAAAAAGAAAAGAAAAGAAAACACATAACTTTCAGAGAGCTGAGCTGAAGATCTCCTAGCCTTGAGATTAGAATTCTCTCTCTCTCTGGTGAAAATGAGCAGAGTTACTTATAAATGCATTCCAGGTTGAGGAGCCAGAAGAACCTGTGCTGAGCTCATCAAAAGGCATTCAGCGAATAAGCTACATAGGTATGTGCTGGCATGGGAGGGGTGCTTCGCCCAGGTGGCAGGAGAACAGCCATGGCCCTCTTAGGATATAGCCTGACATCACCTTCCCTGTCACTGTCATCTAATAACAAAATGCCCAAAATGATCTAAGCACTAGTTATCGTGAAGGAAAACAGCATTTTAGATAAGTCCCGGCTTTGGAGAATAAGAGGAGATATAAAAAAGAATGGCAGCTGGCTAACCTTTCTAATTCCCCGAATCCTCCTCCTTGTCTGGGACCCTTTTATAAGTCAATGAAGTTTAATAAAGCATTAATGGAGGGGGGAAGCCATATTGAATCTTCTGTGCATCCTCCTCACCCCATTTCCTTTCTCCCCCTCCAGAGGGTAGCTACTGTCCCATCTAATGATTTTACCTATATCCATAACCTTAATATTACATATGTAGGTATATTTCATACCACATAGTACACAGATACAGACTTCATATACATACATAATATATGTGCACACTAAGCTCTGCTACTTACATTTCAGATAAACATTAAGTCTCTAAGGTGCATCCTGGCTAGTGAATATGTTGTTGTTGGAACTCTTTTATGCCTATATAGTGTGTGTTTGTATATATAAAATCCTTTCATCTATTATTGGGGGGCCCTAAGGTATTCCCTTCAGCACTGCTGAATATTGCCAGAGTCACTGTACTAACAGTGTTTGCCATTGTTTTTTGCCATTGTTGTTTGTGATAAAAGATCTGTGATACAAAAGTTGCATTTCATCATTTTTAAGTGTGCAGTTCAGTGGTGTTGAGTACCTCCATGCTGTCATGCACCCATCACCACATCGTATATAGACCTGAATCCCTGAACCCATTAAGCAATAAGCCATTTCTCCCTCCATTGAGCTCCTGGTAACTGCGTTCTAGATTCTGTCTCTAAGAATCTAATGTGACTTCCACATTTATGTGCAGTGACACAATAGTTGGTTTTGCTTCGTTGGTTTATTTCATTCCACTCTTGTCTTGAAAGTCTGTCTACATCACAGTACATCCCTGATTTTGTTCCTTGCAGAGGTGGCTTTGGCTCTGCTGTAGCCATGACTACTCTTGTGCCAATGGGCCCAGGGCTGTCCTCACCATGGGCCACTACAGATGGTGCTGCCACAATATCACACTCAAGGGTCTGGCCAAGTCCCAGCTTTCAACTCTTTTTTTTTTTTTTTTAAAGATTTATTTATTTATTCGTACAGAACTGGGGTACAGGCCAGAGATGCGGAGGGTGAGAGGATTCACCAGAGACAGAGCGGGAAGCAGAACAGGCAGATCGACTAAGCACACTGCTGAGGGGAGCAGCGGGCGGGTCAGGAGAGGTCTGCCACGCCATGTGGTCACCTCCGGGGCAGGCGGGAATCGAACTCATGCGGAAGTGGCTTTAGCTACTCAGTGATGTGCTTTAACCCGCCGCGCCACCAGGGAGGGCCCAGCTTTCAACTCTTTAGGGCATACACCATGAAATGGAATTGCTGGGTCAGTGGCAGTTTTAACTTGCATTTTCTTTTTAAAGATGTATTTATATATGCATACAGAACTGAGATACGGGTCAGAGGTACAGGGGTGATGATAGGATTCACCAGAGACAGAGTGGGGAGCAGAACAGGCAGACTGATGAAGTACACTTCTGAGGGGAGCAGCGGGTGGGTCAGGAGAGGTCTGCTGTGCCATGTTGTTCAGCTCCCTGGTCAGGGATACACTTTAACCCATTGCAACAACAGAGAGGGCCCTTAACTTGCATTTTCAAGACCTGCAGGTGGCTCTCCATGGCACTCCAGCACTTGACAATCCCAGCAGTATTCACAGGGTTCTAGATTCTTGCCAGGCTGTGCTTCCTATTTTATTTAAATATTTCTCATCCTGGAGTTCTTTGCTTTGTTTTGTCTTATTTTGCTTCATTTAAAGGAATGCTGTCAATACTCAAAGGGTGAGCTTTGAATGGTGTGGATCTTTTAATTTCTCACCTAGAATGCCTAAAAATTTCTAGAAACCAATTATTATCTATAATGATAACTTGTCTTTAGTCCCACAAAGCAGGAATTAAAGAGAATTCTGGATGAGTAAAGAAATGAATGTCTGTGTGTAAAGCATGTGGGTGACTAGCCCTGCCACAAAGGTCTTCACAGATTAAGGCCACAGGCTGGAGCACAATGAAAGAAAGGAGCAGGGAGCAGATGGCCAAGAGAGCTGAGAAACTAGGGGTTGTTGCTGAGCAGCCAGCAGCTGCTATTGGATCAATAGGATGTCACAGAAAGGGTGATCCAGCTCATCCATGATTAGGTGACTACTTCTCACTAGCCCCTCACATGACCAGCCCTGATGGAA